GAAAATAAAAAATTAAATTTTTTAAAAATAAAATTTTAAATTTAAATATTATAAATAAAAATATATTTACTAGAAAAATTTGTGTTTGACGCCATTTAATTTTTAATTAATTAAAATTTAACATAATTATAAGATATCTTATTTGGACTTTCGGTTAAGTGACGTTAAGCCACCTAAAGTATATTCTTCTACTGCCGTACAATAATTCGAATCCGAGTGAATTTGTTAAAAAAAAAAATTAATAATTATAAGATATCAAGCTATTAATAAAAATAAAAATAGAGTAAATACTAGCATTGAATATAGGAGTGAAATAGCGGCTCAGTTTGTAGTTTGTACCCAAAAAATTGAAAAATTCCATCAAGCGGAAACGAATCCGGGAGATCGATTTGCAGAGAGGGAAACAGAAGCGGAGCTAAAGCCTGAATCATGATTTCGCAGTTCTTCGTTTTGTCTCAACGAGGCGATAATATTGTATTTCGCTACTGTGAGTCCTCTTCTTCTCCTCCTCCTCTCGTTTCTCCATTTTTCTCTCTGGATCTGATTCCTTTTTTCGGCTTGTTTTGCTCTCTCTCGTTTACCTTCTTTGAAGCTCTCGATGTTGATATCTCTAGTTTTTACGTTGATTGATACGCAAACGAATTAATCTTGGAACATTGCTTTGGCCTTCGCCTTGATCACTATGATTTAGCTTAAGCAATGTTGATCATTGTAAGATTTTTATGTTAGTGGATTTTCATTGTGTTTCCGTGATCGGTTGGTCTTGTTCGCCGGAAGATATCAACTCAAGTCGGAATTGCTTTATTTTTATTGAATTTGAGCTTAAGACCTTGTAATTTAATACCGGAATCTGATTGATGCTGCAGATCGTGGTGAAGTACCGAAAGGAGGTGCGGAGGTTTTCTCTCGCAAAGTTAAGTTTTGGAAAGAAGATGGACAAGAAGAGGCGCCGCCTGTCTTTGTAGGTATTTTCTTACTAAAGAATGCCAGGCAGTTTAGTTTTATATATCCAGAACTTTTGATGTACTTTTATTGGAGGAGCCTCCAAGGCTTCATGATCTGTACATGTCTGCCATATTGCAATCGTCATTCAGTTAATTGAGTTGATATTGGCCTGTAGTGTTCAGGAGTATTTTCGAGAAAGTTGAATTACTTAGGATCCATGTCTATTGGATTTGCTGACTTTTTTTTTTTAATTCTTTTTAATGGTAGAATGTGGATGGTGTGAACTACTTTAATGTGAAGGTTGTTGGATTGTTGTTTGTTGCAACCACAAGGGTTAATGCGTCACCGTCTCTTGTACTGGAGCTTCTACAAAGGATTGCCTGTGTCATTAAAGGTTAGCTGGGCATTCTAAATGAAGAGTCATTGTGGAAGAACTTTGTTCTTGTGTATGAGTTGCTTGATGAAGTTATCGTAAGTCTCTTGTCATATCGCATAACCTTCTTAGCTTGTAAAAGGGTTTGCTGCTATTTACCTTGGGAGTCTTGCATGTAGCATCATGGTTTTGCTTATGTATGTTGATATGAGCTCACAATTGATTGTATTTTGAGTTTTTTTTTTTGCATAACCAAATGTGGCTATTCTGATTAAATTTTGCTATGCTTTGTTGCTATGGTGAAGCTGTGAGTTACTAATTATTGATGAATTGTTCTTCCAAAAAGTTTTACATGGTCTGACTCTGACTATTGCTTTTTTTTTTTTTTAAACCAGGACTGTGGTTATGTGCAAACAACATCCACTGAAGTATTGAAGCCCTATGTATTTAATGAGCCAATTCTGATTGATGCTGCACGACTCCAACCTCTTGGTCCTGCTGCAATCTTTATTGTATGATATTGCCTGATTATCCTCCCTCAAGTTAATGGCATTTAGGTGGCATCTTATTTTATTGACATGCCCTTATCGTTGCTACAATTTGGATGCATGCAGCAAGGGACCAAAAGAATGCCTGGGACAGCAGTCACAAAGTCTGTTGTCGCAAATGAACCTGGAGGAAGAAAGAGAGAAGAAATTTTTGTTGATATAATTGAGAAAATTAGCGTTACGTTCAGCTCTAGTGTGAGTGACTAGATCTTTTTGATTTAACCTTTTAAATGCTTTCTATAGGGCAAACATCTCTTGCAAATGATCAAATACTTGTAAGCTCAAGTTTTGTAAAATTAAATTTTACTTTAGTTACCTATGCTGTCAATCATCATAATGGTTTCTACATAACTCTTATTTTTACTGATGTTTAAACAGGGATATTTACTGACTTCTGAGATTGATGGAACCATTCAAACGAAGAGCTATCTAACTGGAAATCCAGAAATCCAGTTGGCTCTTAATGATGACCTGAGCATAGGAAGAAGCGGGGGATCAGTTTGTGGTACTTCCATTTCATCTTGATCGTATCTTTATGATTTCCATTATGAATTGGCTTTTCAAGGACATGAATTTACTAGTAAATTAAGTATAATTAGCTGTGCTCCATACTTGTAACTTTTTGCTCTTGATGAAGTCACCTTTATGAAGTTCATTTGGTGTCAAGATTTTTTTTTTTTTTTTCATTTACGATTTTAGTCAGCCTAAAAGAATGCTCTGACAGTAGGTACTACCGAGTGTCAACAATCTTTCTATGATATTGGCCGAAAAAATCTGAAAGAGTATCAACAATCAATCAGAAGATAAGCACTTTCTAAACTTGCTCCAGCAAGTATTGGAACCAATAAATTGAGTAGCAATGGAGATGGGTTCCAGCATATTGGAAATTCTTGCAAAAATGTGATAGGAATTTAAGAATTAATCTTCAACTCATGTATACTTACCTCTTAAGTGAGTTCATTATTCCTGCTTTTTAAAGATGCATTTTCTTGGATTAAATTTATTGTTGATATTTTAACAGAGTTAGTTTTGTGTTGGAAGCTGGAGCTGTTGGGCAAAGAACAGATTTCAAAGATGCAAACAAGAGACTTGAATGGGGTTTGAAGAAGGTAAAAACTTCTTAAAGATACTTCTCTAAATTTCAACTGTTGAATTAACTTAAGTTGATTCTTTCTTGCTTTTGCCCGCTCAATACAATTAACATGCTTCCACCAAGTATGCAAGTTACTGAATGACGCAATGCTTGATTAGATTGTTGGTGGTTCTGAATATAAACTGCGTGCAAAGTTGACATTTTCACAAGAATCACATGGTATTTATTTATCAATCATCTCAAAATCTTATTTTTCCCGAGTGATAATTTTAGTGAAGTGACTTGTAATATCTGTTTTCATGTCATTTGTATTGCTCGACTCAGTAAACATCACAAAGGAAGCTGGACCAGTTAGCATGACTTTCACAATACCGATGTATAATGCTTCAAGACTTCAGGTAAAAAATAATGTCTTCCAATTTAGCTAGGCAACTCCTTTTGCCATGTAAACACGTCAACCAATACTCAAACCCGAAAATCCCCTTCCTGCCTCCATCCCATCTAAACTAATGGTGTTAAATTCTTAGTTAATTATGTCTTTGAATTCATATGAAGGTTGCCAATTCCTTACACGCTCCCTTAATGCAGGTGAAATACTTGCAGATTGCTAAGAAATCCAGTGCTTACAATCCATATCGATGGGTGAGATACGTCACTCAGGCCAATTCGTATGTTGCTCGAATCTAATATCTTAGAGCTTCCATCTTTCCCCTGCACCTCATTTGTTGTCATGTTATCACATTTAGACCGGATTCTCCGTTATCGTTGAATCAAAATTATGTTTCACTGAGTAGTTTATCACTCACTGTGCACATCATAGGACAAATTTTTGTTACCGGCAATCAGTGGGTTACCTCCTGCTAGAAAGCATGTCAGTCGAAGGAAGTCAGGGAGAAACTCCATAACATATGAATTGGCTTATGGTTGGTATCTAATTCGAAGAAATCTCATGAACTGTAGGCATCTTCTCGTTTCTTCCATCCTTTTACTCTGTGAGGACAGAGCCCTAAGCATATAAAATTGGACATGACTTGAAAATTCGATTTAACCCAACCACTATGGGTCAAGGTGTGGCACTAAGGTGTTGACCCAAAACATGATATGATCTAAATAAAAGTTGAGTTCCATTAGGGTGAATCCAAAGTTTTAAAAATCGGACCGGATTGGACCGGCACCCAGTATCATAAACGGGTTGGTTAAGTGCTTGAAACCAGTAAAGAGGTTGAACTGTGTAAAACTAACAGAACCACTTAAATTGATATAAACCATTAAACCATTCAACCGGATGATTTAAAATTCTTGAAAAACTTCCTTTAACTTTGCGTCCTCCAAGGCTCGAACACAATACTTAAAAAGGGAATTTTCATTCACTTCCACCACTAGGACATAATCCATTGGATTGAAAAGGGCTTAAACTTTTATTTATTTTACTTTTAAGAAGAATAGAATTA